GAGCCCCTAGTCTCCCATGGGAGTGACGTCTAAGAGGAGAGCGAACAAGGAGCAGATGGAGTGAGGAGGGTGCTCCAGGAGACTAGAGTGCATGTCCCCAGACTGAGGGCAGGAACAAGCTTGTCTTAGAGCATTCCGGTAGGGCTTTTATTCAGGATGAAACAAGTAAATCTAGAGAAGTTCACAGGGACTTGCAATGCCAGGCTGACTCAATGTAATAGGGAGCTATGGAAGGCGTTTGAGCACAGGAGGTATCTGAACAGGGAGGTCAGTGAGCAGGAAAGAGATCCCAGAGATAGGGAGGCCGAGGGAGGTAGGTCAAGTCTGTGAGGCTGTCAGAGCGCTGGCGGCAGGAGACAGGTGTTAACAGGAGTCTGAGGGCCATGTCAGGTAGATCAGGGTGCAAAGACTTCTCTAAGCCTCAGTGTCCTGTCTACAAAGTGGGGGTAATGGCAGCTTCCGCCTCCCAGGGTCGATGCATGTTTCTTTAGCTGTGCAGACAGCACCGGGCACAGTCTGCTGAGCTTATGTTTGACCTGCAACTATTTCTCCAGACCCCTACCCTACAATGTTGCAAACATGATTCAGAGTGCAGGGGACAAGCAGCAAATAGACAGAAGCCTCTGGCCTCTGGAGTGTCATTCTAGCAGAGACGTGGAAGGGCAAGAGAAGTTAGGATGCTCCCGTGGGGCGGGTCCATGAAGCTGCGCCAAGGGCATTTGGACGGAGGCTGAAGGGCATCTGCGGATTTTCACAGATGACTGTTCCAGGCAGGACAGGAAAGTGCAAAGGCTGTTTGAGAAAGGAGTATGAAGCCAGGTCACATGGGCCTGTGAGGTGTTGCCTCTGATGAGGAGCTCTGAGATATCTCACAGGGGCATGGATGAGCGAGTGACCATTCATGTGTTAGCCAACCTTTCTCCCGGCCGTCTATGTGCTAGTCATCGGGTTAGGGAAGCAGAGAAATGAATAAGGCAGACCCACCCCTTGCCTGAAACTCACGTTCCAAGATGGAGACAAAGAAAGGTGAAGACACAGAAATAGGCATCATTCCATCTTGCGACAGGTCCCTGCGAGAAAAGAAATGCGATGCAGGGATGGACATTTAAGCAGAGAAGGGGGTGAGGGGAGGCATCTCTGCGGAGTTGGTGATGTTTTTCTTGGGCTGGATGCTGAGCCCAGCAGGTGGGCTGGGCGCCGGCGGGGGGCGGGGGGAGGCAGGAGAAGGGAACAGCAAGTGCAAAGGCCCAGACGCTGTGCCAGGACGCTGTGGCTGTGCAAGGAGCCAAGTGTCAACGTCTCATTGCATCTCCAGGGTACCCTGAGCACTGTGATCAAGGTGGGTAACCCTGGGCTTGGGGGTGAGTGCGGCAGGGCTCCAGCTGTCTGGGACTCAAGGAGCTGCTGACTTATTTTGAGGCCGAAATTCCTTCCTTCGGCCCCACCAACTGCCTACAGAGTACTGGGTATTTTTAAATGTTGCAATTTCATCCTTGTTGACAGAATTGTGCCTTTTCCCATATACTATTTCTGGGGTTGGGGGTCATTATCTCCATTTTATAGATGAAGAATCAGAGAACCAAAGAGGTGAATCCACTTACTCAGGGTCACACAGCAAGGAAGGGGAGATGCCAGGAACTGAATTCGAAGCCTTGTCTCCACGTGGATGGACATTCCGGGGGTGGGGGTGGGGGACACCCAGTTAAGGGACATAGTCCCAGGGCTCAAATATTTACTTTTTACTTCACAAACACAGAGCCATTTCCACTTGTCAGACCCTCTTCTAAGCACTTTGAAAATATTAACTCATCACACCCCCTGGGGGCAGCTATTGCTAGTGTCGTATTTTATAGATGAGGAAAACACAGAGCGGGAAACCACTTGCCCAAGGTCCCACAGCTAGCAAGTGGCAGAGCTGGGACCTGAACCCAGAGGCAGCGGCCGCCAGTCTGGCTGCACAACCTCCCTATGTTTACCAAGGCTGCGAGGCCGCAGAGTGACCCCACCCTGTGTGGAGAGGGTCTCCCTCCGCTGGCCAAGGAGCAGTGTGGGGTGTGGGGAGCAGAGTGGAACTCTCGGCAGGGGAATGCTGTAAACCAGGGACTGAAGCGGGTGGGTGGGAGAGCAGGCAGGGAGATAAGATGAAGAGGCCTGGCCCTGTGGGTGGGGGCAGCTGCCTTGGGGGCAGGGAGTCTTTCTGCTCCTGAGCAGAGACTGCAGAGCTGGCACAGCTCAGTGAAGGCTCTGACAGTCCTTCGGGGCAGCAAGGGCCGCCCCTGTGGACGGAGGGCTCCCCCTTCCTGGAACCCCATGTGATATCTACTACTTGGTGTAGAGGAGATGCAGAGATCAGGCAGGGGACGCCCTTTCAATTCCGATATTCCAAGAATCTGAGCTGTTGCGATTAAAACCTGGAACATTCTGAAATACTGCGGATTCTACCATGTTAGGTGTGACGGGGCCTCGCTGTGTAAGGATAGCCAGAGCCTTCTGTTTGCTCTAACCTACTGAGGAGGAAAGTGGGCACTGTGCCCCCTCCTAGAGACAGACAGGCCTCCTTTAAGGAGGGTCAGAGCCGCAGGGCTGAGCCCAGCCCCTCAGAGCTGTGCCTTGAAGGCACCAGAGGCCGGGTGGCCTCAGTCACACTGGTCAGACTCAGTCTCACCATCTCTACAACATGTTGAGGTGCTTTCTCTGGGTCTTCCGGGCCTAAGCATTCTCAATCTCCCCTGAACACCGTCTACCCCATCCCCCGAGTTGGGGGAGGGGCAGGCAGGAGCCAGAGGGTGTCTGCTGGTCATGGAAAGAATGTGAAGGCAGGAGGCCCAGTGGGTGGGGTCCCTCCTCGGGCAGCAAGAAGAGGGCAACATGAGATCATGCTGTCTGGGCCTCCTGTCCAGCACCTCTGGGGATGGGATTGTCTCCAGGCTGTTCCTTCCCCTCCCACCTTCCATCACACCCTCCCCTGGGACCCAGACTCAGTCAGACTGCCCATCCCCCTCCCACCGGGCAAAGAGAGTGAAATGAGGGCCTGAGAGGCGGGCACCAGTCCAGGCGCATACAGTGAGTCCAAGGCAGGCTCCGAGCCCATGGTCCTGCTGGGGAATTAGGGCTCAGGGCTGTCTTCATTTCTCGACTGTTGGAGGCCAGAGAAAGACATAGGGGTGGGGTGGGGGGGCAGTGCTCATACCCACAGCTGAGTGTGCCTGGGTTTGTGGTTGGCCTGTTCTTCCTGGGCACAGGTTGGGCTGGGGACACAGCTCTTTTCTCCCCAAGGCCCCACTCCTCAGAGGCTAAAGTTTCTTGGGGGTGGGCAGGACAGGATGCAGAGGCCTGCTCCCCCAGTTGGCTGGCCGGCCTCCCACCCTCCTCCTTCTAGCTCAGGACATGCTGGGAAGAAACTGGGGTCACAGGGTCTCCATAGGAATGTGCCACAGGGAAGAGTGCCCAGCAGAGCCTTCTTTCCCGGACCCAACTGAGAAAGAGCCCCCAGCCCTGTAACTCCCCATCCCTGTGACTGTCTGAATCTAGGTATTGCACACACATGCTCCCCGAAACCCACTGACCCATACGATACACAGCCACGAACGCACACAGGTGCTCCCTTCCCCTTACACCCTCACACAGGACCTCTCTCCCTTTCCAGTTTGACCCAGGTGATGGGACAGACCCTCCCCATTACTCTATGTGTCCCCCTGGGGTCCAGGAGGTATGGTGGGGGAGGGGACCCCACAGCTGGCCAGGCATTTCCCTCGCCTGTTCCGGCCACGGCGAGCCCCCACCCAGCAGGTCCCCCCTCCACCGAGGCTCTGGAGTCTGTGGGAACCAGACAGTTGGGGCTGTCCAGCCGGACTCGCTTCCTCCCAGGCCCCAGGGGACCTGCTGAGGGAGGAGGGAGCAGCAGAGACTGAAGTCAGTGTGGCTGCCTGCCCCCGGGGAGGCTTCTGGAAGGGCTTGGGCTGCCTGCCCAGTTTCCAGCCCCCTGGTGTCACCTCATGGGATATAGGACCCTCCAGGTCCGGACACCAAAGACGGATCCCGACCCCCTTTTCTTCCTCTATATCTTGATCCAGAGTTGGGGGAGGGAGGGAAGCTCTGAGGAGACAGCCATTTGCCAGCTCCTCTGGTATTGAGGGTGTGGGGACAGTGAGGGTTCAGGTCCCTAAGCCTAGCAGAACAAATTGATACATGCATTTCTGTGGCTTCCACCCAAGGGCGCAGCAAGCAGAGGCCAGGGGTCAGAGCTCCGGCACCTCCCATCTGTACCCAGAACAGCCTTCCCTGCCCCCATGGAGAGACATGTGTTCTTAGAGTCACCAGGAGTCCTTGAGATGCTGGGGGCTCCAAGGGCCCCTCCATTCACATGGGAAGCCCAGACAAGGGGGCCGGGGCTGGGATCCCCACCATGGACCGGCAAGGCGCCCATTTGGTCCCAGCATTTCCAGAATTCTGGAAATGCTCTTTCTCCTCTAGGGGTCACCATCAGCTCTGCCCCCGGCCCCTCCTGCAGCCTCAGCCTGACCGCAGGGTAGGGGCCCGGAAGAGCCACACACGCCTTGTGTTGATTTCCTCTCTCCTACTCGTTGGCCACCTGGAGCAGGAGCTCGTGGGCCTGAGCCCCACCACAGCGGACATACCACACAGGAATCAGGTGACAGAATCCCTGCCACCAATGGTCACAGTCATGACGACCGTAACAGGGGGTGCTGAGTTACAATTTGGGGCTAGGGCATCTGCCCTTCCAGCCAGCCCAGCCTCACGGGCTGGCTTCATTATATTCCTCCCCTCTCCCCGCACCCCCTGCTCCCCCTTCTTCTGCCTTGCTGGGAAACTCCCTGAGAAAGTCCCCAGCAGGAGAAGGGCTTAGGAGGGACGATTCCACCTGGGGTCCCCAGCCCCTGCCACATACTCCACCACCACAGCCACCCCACACAGAACCAGGCCTCCCGGTCCTCGGCCCCCAACCATCCAGCAAGCTGACCCTCATTGTCACACTGGCTTTATTGGCCCTCAGCGTCACAGAGGACATTCCATGGGCCCCGTTCCCCTCACCCCCAAGTCTGTCCAGAGGCCCCAGGGGCCTAGTTGAGCGGTCACCCCTCCAGTGTTGGTTTTCTGTCCCATTGTCCTCAGCTTTCCAGGGTGGGGTCCTCTGAAAGCTCCCCAGATCGTAGTCAGGCTCAGCCGGGAGGGAGTATCTGGCAAGGGTCCTGCAGGAACTGCCCGAGGCCAGGCTGGCTTCACTCAAAGAAGAACATTCCCGGCGTCCGGTATAGGCAGGGGGTCAGTCCCAATGGATAGCCAGAGCCTCCCTGGACAGGAAAGCCTCCAGCCACCCAGGGTTCCTTGGGGTCAGCAGGCAGGGGCAGCGAGGCCCTGAGAGAGGTTGGAGGGGTGGGTGGTGCCGGGGAGGGGGCTGCCGAGGCCAAGAGGTGCTCCAGGCCGGGCTCAGTTCCCACGCAGAAATTCAGAGCCTGCAGCCGGCACTGGTAGCCACTCCCGATGCCCGTCTCAGGTGTCAAGGTGGGCGTAGGGGCCTTGCTAAACCCCTCACCCTCAGAGAACCCAGCAGGAAAGCCAAATGCTGGGCATGGGGAAGACGTGGCGGCCAGGGGGAGCTCCCCGGGGCCAGTGGGCTTGGGCGTGGGCAGCTCTTTGGGCTCCACAGGTGGTCGCGGTCTAGCTTCAATGGTTGTCGAGCACATGGTGACTGGCAAGGTCCCCAGCAGACCCCCGAAGCTTAGACCTTTGGGCTCTGGCAGCTCCGGAGGGAAGGGGCACTGCCTGCCAGTTGTGGCGCTGGGGACTCCTGGGTCCTGGCTGGCGGCTCTGAGGGGTGCCCGGCGCGCCTTGGCAGGGCCCTTGGCACCCTCGCCCCCTGCCCGCCGGGTGAAGCGTCGGCGTCGGCGCAGGAAGCTGCCATGCTCAAACATGTCGTGACAGTCCGGGTCCAGCGTCCAGTAGCTGCCCTTGCCTGGCTTGCGGTCATCTCGAGGCACCTTGACAAAGCACTCGTTGAGCGACAGGTTGTGGCGGATGCTGTTCTGCCAGCCAGGCCGGTTGTGGCGGTAGAAGGCGAAGCGGCCCATGATGTAGCGGTAGATGCCGCTGAGTGTGGCCCGCTGCCCCGGGGAGCTCTGGATGGCCATGGCAATCAGAGCGATGTAGCTGTAGGGAGGCTTGGTGGGCTCCGCGGCAGGGCCCGGGGGCCCAGGCAGGGGCTGCTGCTGCATGCTGGCCGGGCTGGCCAGGGTGCCGGGACCACGGGGGCCAGGCACTGCGTCCAGGGCTGGCGTCCGGCACAGCCTGCCCGGGGCTGGTTAAAAGGCCCACTGGTCCAGCCTCCCAGCCTGGAAAGGCAAAAAGGGGTGGGCCCGCCAGGCTGCCCTCCCTCCCTCCCTCGCCCCCTCCCCCAAGGCCCAAGAGGGGCGGGCAGGAGAGGCCAGGCTTGGGAGGCTGGGAGCAGCTCTCTGCCAGGGATGAGGAGATGGGGGCGGAAGGGAAGGAGACCCCTCAGCCCACAAGTGCTATATGGTGGCTGGGGAGGGGCAGGATGTGAAACTGAACGAGACAGAGACAAACAAACAGGGGCAGAGGCAGAGACTCAGAGAGGGAAAGAGCAAAAAGAGACTGACTAGAGACGAAAGAACAGAGGGACAGGAACACAGAGGTAGAGGCAGAGACATAAAGAGGCAGAGACAAACATAAGCCAGAGACAGCAAAATGGAGATACTCAGAGAGGCAGACACACACGCACAGAAAGTTAGAATCTCTGAAAGAGACAGGCACAGCTTAAAGAGAGGGAGGGGCAGGAGAATAGAGACACAGGAGATGAGACTGGCAGAGTCTAGGTGCTGACCTGGAGAGCTGGGAACCCCTGTAAGAAAAGCCCCAGGGGTCTCTCAAATGTCTCACCCTAGCTCCCCCTTTTTCCTCTCCCCCGTCTAGGCTTGTGGCCTGCTTTTTCCTCCCCGCAGTGCAGAGCCCTTAAGGTCACACTGTTCCCAGCCAGCACTGGGGCGTGTGTGTGGGGCAGGGTATCTGGGGTGGTGGTGAGGACCTCCCAGTTGGGCCAGAACAGCCAAACCTGTTCTGCTGACACCTGGCGCCCTCTACCGATGGCTTTAGGGAGGACAGCTGTCTGGACAGAGACATCTCCCTCCCCAAGAAGCTTCTCCATCAAGTCCCTCCCTGATGGAACCGGTTTCTCCTTCTCTAAAATAGAGTTAGCAACTCTTCCATCATAAAGGTCATGTTATAAAGAGGCAAGGGATTCCCTTGCACGAAAGTCAGCCTCCTCGGAGAACCTAGAGAGAAGGGATTTGGACATGGCTGAGGACTGTCACTTTGGACTGAGGCTCCTGCCTAGCCTTAGCCTTGAGCCAGGGTGCAGCAAAGCCCTGGACAGTCAGGTCATCTGGAGGATGTGGCAGCTTCCGCCATACTTTCCCACCCACAGGTAACTAACCAAGTCAGTGGGTACCTACTGTGGTCTGCCCTCCATGCCAAAGCAGCTTACCTCTCCCTGCTGCATTTACTGCTCTGACCAGTCCCGCCCCAGAGGTCCTCATTGCTTCTTTTGAATAGATGAATAGACACTGAGCTTCAGAAAAGTTAAGTGACTTGCCTGAGGTCACACATCTAGGAAGTGACAAAGCTGGGATTTGAACCCAGAATTGTGTCTCTGCCTCCTAAACTCCACCTCTTCTGTGATAGGCAGGGATACAGGACAGTGATTAGGCCCCCACAGAAAACAGGCTGTGAGCCCCAAGGAGTAGGGAACACAAGTCCCCAGTGTCCAGCCCTGGCCTGGAACAAAGCAAGTGCTCAATAAACATTTGTTGAATGAATTAAAAAGTAGAGATCCAATGGGCTCATATCCTTTGTTGAATCAGACAGTACCAGCCCCCCATAACAAAGGCTTACTCATGTGTAACCAAGAGATTTATTAGGCTGCCATCTGTAAGAAGATTCCTGTAAATAAAGTCAGAAATCAGAAAAAGAAAAGAAAGGTTTGCTATGTGGGACACAAAACAGTGACTTCACTGACAGGCAGAGGTGACTGCCCTCATGATGGGGTGCTCCCCCCCAGTTCCCGAGGATGACCAGCTTGCAGTTTGCAAAATCAGGGGCCTTGTGGAGGGGCTGGACTCCTGGTGCCCACGTTGGCTTCCATCTCCGGTTGTGTTTGGGGGACCTGCAGGTCCCCTGGAGCTGCTGGTTCAGGGGTTAGCAACCAAATCCTTGCTTTCAGGACAAGGGCTCTGTTTTGGAACTCCTTGCTCTCCCGCCCCTCAGCTGCTCCCAGAGAGAGAGACTTGTGGTAGTGTGGGAGGAAGGGTTTAGGAACTCAGAGCCCCTCAGAGGCCAGGCAATCCTTACTAGTTGGCTCCACTCTACACAATGCTGCAGGTCTACTTGTTGGTAAAGTCAGCTTCAAGCAACACTTACAATGGGCTCAGCGGCAGGTAGGGCAGGCTTTAAGTCAATCGCTACAGCCATGCTGGGCTCTCAACAAGGGATGAAGTCTTATTTCTGCACTGATTGCTTTTCTGTAACTTCCAGGTCAAGTCTGATTTCCCCACCTGCTGTGGATGTCAGCCATCCCTGTGGCTGAGAGGTTGCAGGCGAGGTCAGCTTTGGCTGTTCCCAGCCACCTGGGTGATGGGTGGGGGAAATTTCCAAACCCCCTGCGTCAGTTTGAGGTAAGGCCAGGGCGGGGGTAGAGGTCAGACTTTGTGGTGAGCTCACTTTACAGAGGGTTGGAGAGGAGGAAATGGCTGCTTAAGGCTGACTCTGCTGCCTTGTTCACCAGAGAAGTCAGAGATGCTGGGCTGGGAACTGGACCTGGAGGAGGCTTCATGGTGGTGGCGCTTACAGTGCAGGAGGAGCTTCCGGGCAAAGACAGGCTCCACCTGTAGGGGGCAGCGAGTCAGCCTCTCTCCCCACTCTCTCTCCTCCCCTCCCTGTCTCTCCCCCATCTCTCCCCCATCTCTCCCCAATCTCTCTCCCCCCTTTTTTCCCCCATCTCTCCGCCCCCCCCCGTCTCTCTCCCCATCTCTCTCCCCCCCCTGTCTCCCCTGTCTCTCTCCCCCCTCTCTCTCTCCCCCATTCCCCCCCCACCTCTCTCCCCCCCACTCCCACCGTCGCCCTCCCCTCTCTCCTCCGTCTGTCTCCCCCATCTCCTCCTAGGAAGTAGAGGTCCTACTCCCCACACACCTTGTACAGTAGGGCCACACAGACCAGAGGGTCTGAGAGTAGGTCCTGAGGGTCTGCAGGGGCTTAGGGAGGGTGGTGTGGAGGGGCCCGGAGGGCCCCCGTGCTGGCTGGCAGTGGGAGGGGACTCACATGGGCCATGACGAGCCGCTCCTTTGGCTGGTCCTCCGGGCCCGGGTACTCCTCTCCAAAGCACAGGCGGATCTGGTACTCAGGCTCTGGGCAGCCATCCTGTAGGTGGGCGTCCAGGTCTACGGGCACCCAGACTGTGGGGGCTGGGCCGAGACAGGCATCCCACCTGGTGCCCGCCTGATGCCCATGTCCCTTGTCCTATCAGCTCGTACCCCCATGGGCACCTATTCCCTTTCCCGTGTCCCTGTGCCTGTCTGATGTCCCACATCTGTGGCCATTTCATGGGGCTCACCATGCCATGTGCCCCCATCACTTTATGCGCACCCCACAGCCATGACGGCCGGCCTGTGCCTATTGTATGCTTGCCTCCCTAAGCCCTGTGGATTCCTGTGCCCAAGTGCTATGCTGATGCCCCACGCCCAATGCCCGCGCCTGCACTGTCCAGCCCAGACACCTATGCCTGCGTCTGTGCCCAGATTTCCTGATGCCCGTATTCACTCCTATCCTGGTGCTTCTGTATCATGTCCTTTCTTTCCGTGTCCACCGCATGCCCCACATCCTCAGCCCATTCCTCTGCACCCACACCTTGTGTACCCACTGTCTTCTGTCTACGTCTCTTTGCCCACCTGTGCCCGCACCCGCGTGCCCTTCCACTGTGCCCGGAGCCTCCTGCAGCTCCGAGGTCGCAGCCTACCTGTGAGGAAGCGGCTGGTGTCCAGCAGCTGGCAGGTGCGCTCGCGCTCCAGTTTGTTGGGCTGCGCGCGGTGGGGGGCGAGCGGGCCACGCCAGTACACGCGGCCCTGGCACAGGCGCTTGGCGAAGACACCCTCGGGCGCCACCCACAGCAGCACGCCGCGCTCCAGATGGGGCAGCAGGCGCTGCAGCACGCGGGCGCCGGGCGGAGGTTCCGGGAAGCGGATTTGCGCGACGCGTGCCGGCCAGCCCAGAAGGCGCTCGGCGGCGGCGGGCCGCGGGCTCAGACAGCAGCCCTCCGCCGTGCGCGCGGTGGCTTCCCTCACCAGCTCCGCGCCGTAGTAGAGCCTCACGTGCAGCCAGCAATCTGCCCAAAGGGGAGAGGGGAGGAGGGCATGCCACTGTCGTCCTCAGAGCCCAGCCTCTGGGAATCTGAGCGTCCTGTTGCACATAACAGTAAGGACAGCAAAGCGGCTTCCCCGGGGAGGAGCCAGCGTGCTCTCAATGGCCAGGGTTAGGACGGTTAGGACATGGGCCCTCTGGCCAGACCTCTGGGTTCCAGTCTCTCAAGCCACCTGGAAGCGATACCTATTAGCACCTTTCCCAGAATTACTAGCTGTGTGATCTTGGGCAAGGTTCTGACAAATGGGGAGGATGGCAGTATCTATCTTAAACTCTGTGCAAGAACTTAGAAGGTGGCCTGGCATCATCTAAACCCTTGAGAAATATTAGTGGTTGTTACTGGGAGCCTGGACTGGGAGTTTTAGGGACAAAGTGTTAGCTGCCCCAACCAGAGACCCTTTCCAGTTCTGCACCCTGGTCAGAGAGGAGGGTCTTTAGATTCCTTACCCGAGTTACTGAAGTCCTCAGAAGGTGAAGAGCTCCAGTGGGGGGTGGGATCTTGTGCCTGGTACCCTGGGAAAGAGGGCAAGCATCAGATGCCTCTTCCCTCTGTCCCCAGATCAAGGACCTGGAAGAGGCCTGGGAGGAGTCAGGGGTGGCGAGGAGACCCAGTCCTTACTGTGGTCAGCCAAAGGGCCTGGGAGCAGGGCAGCTGGCGGTAGGGAGTCCCGCTGGGCCAGCCCAGGAAGCTGCTCCTTGTCCTTATCCTTTGTGGCTAATCTGGAATCATCCTGAGCATTGGGAGAGAGGGGAGTGAGATGGGGAGGGGAACTATGGGTCATAGGAGCCCCCAGACTCCATTGGGCAGCTGGAATTGATTGGAGTTTCAGAGTTCAAGATCCTGCCTTCACTTGGGGTAAAGAGAGAGTTGATGAGTTGTGGAGGTGACTGGATCAGAGATAAAGCTAATTGTGACAGGAGAATGCTTGGAGTGAATGAGGGGAATGAGAGGTGAAGAAACTGGAGCTGACAGAGATGGGGGTGGGGGAGCCAGCGATGGAGCTGGAGCGATGCTGATGGGGCCTGGCCACAGGGGAAGGGAGGAATGACCCACAGAGGGGGAGGGGTAAGGGGTTTTCAGAGGTAGTGCAGGTACAGATGGAGCTGATGGGATGATGGTAACTAGAGGTGATGAAGGTGGACAAAGAGGGCGATGGGACTGGACACAATGGGGCAAGCCGGGAGAGAACTGTGGCCTCAATGACCATAGGAATGAGGGTGACTTGAGAATAGGGTTGATGCAGACAGAGCGATGGAGCTGAAGGCAATAGAGGTGATGGGAACAGGGAAGGAGTCAGAGTGGATGAATGAGGACAGAATGGAGCTGACAATAATGGCAGACGTGGGGTAGAGGTAAGGGGACATAGAGCTGCTAGGCGGGCTGTGGACAGTGACGGAGCAGGAGCTGATGGAGGGGCAGAGATACATGTGCTGGAGGTCTCAGAGAGGGTGGTTGGGGTGAGAGGTGATTGCCCTAGAAAGGCTGCAGGTGCTGCAGGGAACACTGACCTGGCCTGTCCTGCAGGCTGGCTCCGGCTCTTCTGCAGGGCACTCCTGTTGGCCCTGGAGAACGCTGTCCTCCTTAGGAGCACATGGCCTGGTAACTGGAGGGAGCAACAGACAGCCTGTCCTTGCTTGGCCTTGAGGGATGCCCTCTTAACCGACATGATCTCACACAAGAGTACCGCTGCTCATTCATGAGCTCAGGTAAGGTCCAGCCCTCCCTGGGCCCCTGTTTTTTCCTTTTCAAAAGGGGCAATGACCTGGGTGATCTAAGGGTCCGTGTATGTTTTCCAGCCCATGAGTCTGAGCTCAGTAGACCCACCACTCCCCATAAGTCCTCACTGTCTGCACAGCCATCCTCACTACCTCCAGGGGCAGGATGCTACCTGGAACATGGGCACCATCAGACACGATCCGGTAGACCTTGTAGGGGTTGGAGATGTCCAGCTGGCTGCACTCGCGCACCTCACAGAAGTCTGCACTCTTGTTGAGGGCGCAGCGGAGCCTTGTCTTCCACGTGGGGGGGTCTTCCTTGTCAACGCCCTCTAGGTGTTTGCCCTTGTATATGGCCCAGGCCTGGGGGTGAGCAAAGGTTATTGGGGCGGGAGAGCTGGGCGAGGGGCTGGTGCTGTGCCAAGGGTAAGGGACAGCCTTGTGTCCCAACTTTCTCGCGCTCCCTCTGCCCTTCCCACCCCTCTGCCCTCTGCTCACCCACTGTTTCCTGCCTTCCTCCCTCGGTATTCTAGAGACTGTACCAGAGTTAGGGGCTGGGAACTGAAAGGGGAACAAGACAACATGGGCCCCACTCTCAAGGAACTCAAATTTAATTGGAGAAAACAACTGCAAACAGCTAGAGAAATTGTTTGGAATTTGATTTGGAAATATTCCAAATTATGGATTGCAATAGAAAATAAACCAGATGATAGGATATAAAATAGTGGCATAAAAGACCACCATAAAAGTCCCTACCTATTGCCACATATAATGTTACTCTATATGACTAGGAAAAAACAACAACAACAAAGATAAGAGGTAAAACTGTAAGATTAATAGAGGGAAAAATTTAGGGGCAGAATGCTTCCTAACCAAAGCTTTGAAGGCATGAACCTGAAGGCAAAGACCTGACAATGTCTGAAATCAGCAAGTAGTTAAGTCAGAACTAGAGTATACAGGAACTTCTGCAAATCAACAAGTGGCAGAGAGCACCCCCTGCAAAAAAAAAAAAAAAAAAAAACTCACTAAAAGACAAGAATTGGTGGTTTACAGAAGAGGAAACCAAAAGCCCATGATCATATGAGGAAGTATTTCAAGCCACTAGTGTCAGGGAAATGCAAATAAAAATATGGACTGACAAAGTTTGGTGGGCTGAATGATGCCAGGAGCTGGTGGGGGCGCTGTTGGTGGGCGCGGAAGGGCATGGCGCTTTGGGATCGCAATCTGGCATGCGTAAATGTGCCCTGTGAACAGACGTTCTAACGGGAGTTCTCACAGAGGCTCGCCAGCACCTGGGCTTCACTGGCAGTGCTGAAAAGTGGTTCCTCCTGGAGAGGAGCGTGGGGTGTGGAGGGACGGATGCTCATGGTGCAGCATCTAGAACATGTAGGAGCAACACAGTATGGAGAACAAGAACAGATCTTCAGAGCATGATCTTGAGTGAGACTAAGACTAAGTAAGATAGAGAAGGAGAGCTACAGATAACATGATGTGGATAAGGCAAGGAGACACACCAAACAGCGCTGCCTGCTGTGCAACAATAATACAAAGACATTCACAAAACACTTAGAGTGACCGCTGTGCTGGAGGGACTAATTAATTCAGAAAAGTGAGGGACTGATTAGAGAGGGTGGTCAGCAGAGGTCTCCTGGAAGAGGGGGCATGTGAGCTGAAGTCTGAGTGAAAAGAAACACGAAGTCTGACAAAAGGTGGGGGGAAGGATATTCTAGTAGAAGAAACAGTAAGTGCAAAGGTCCTGTGGTAGGAAGAGAATGATAGATTCAAGCAAGGTCATTGTGGCTGTAACAGAGTGGACAGCGGGCAGGGTAGTAGAAGTATTGCTTGCATTTTTTCATGCTCAGAGCGGGGGTGCCAGTGGATGGGGCTTAACTGATGAATCACATTTAATTACTACACTAGTGGGCAGAAATTCCAGGCCTGGTGGGAGACATGGGCATCAGAACAGAAAATCACAGTGCCTAAGTGGAAGTCCCATGCGGAAGCATTGTTAGCAGCACTTGTCAGCTCTAAGAGCTTTAAGGATTTTGCTGTTTGTAAGATGCGCAATGGTATTGAGCCTCGTGTACTTGTGGTGGGTGGGAGTAAAGTACTTAGCAGAGCGCCTGGCACAGCTTGTTTGTGATAGTGCTTATTCCTCATATCCAAGACACTCTCACACAAAGGTAACCCCGGCAGAGGGCCCCGGCACCACCGGGTATCTGTGGTCACAGTGGAACTTCGTTTTGCTCACTGCTGTGTTCGCAAGCCCCCAGGATGACTCCTGCACACAGAGGAGCTCAGTGATGTCTGTGGAACAAGCTGGGCTGAACCAAGTCACGGGCAGAGCGATGCTCCTGGCAGGGCAACAGCTCGGGGCAGGGAACAGTGAGCAGCCTGGTGTCACTGGAGCTGGGGTGGGGAGGGTGTGAGGGCAGAATCCTGGCGATTCTCGCTGTTTGTGGTAGCGCCTTTCTGTCCAATCTCACGAACATGGAATTGCTGCTGGGGGAAATACAGGGCGAGGCTCCTGGGAGTCTCTAGCTACAGCATTTCCATCAACTGGTCAACATGTAGCCTTGTTTGATGTGTGTTCTGGCTCTTATTTAATATGTTCTGTTGGTTCATTCACACTGAGCTTGAGGTCAGCAGTGCTGTAACTCGCATCGGATCAAAGCTTCCTGCACACACATACTTTCTTCACCTTCTTGGCCTGGGGTCACTAGATAGTGCTTCAATTCAGCACTGTGCATGAGGATACTGTTTTAAACAGTGAAATCACCAACAAAAAGTATAAAGATGTTAAAAGCCTGAGACTAAATTGACTGACTGAAAGGACAACTGTTTACGGTAGAAGAGCTGACCGCAAAAGGCCAGTCACCATGCCAGGAGTCACCACCCTCAAGTAGCTGGAGAGAGTGGAGTAGATGGGACAGACTCATACAAAGCCCTTACACCTCACAGGGAAAAGTTGTTCCAGTGGAAAAAGTGGGAGGAATCAGGGGTGATTTGGGAAAAGCACTGAGCTGGAGCTTGATACATCAAACAAATGAACTTGCCAGGGAAGGCTCTCTGGAGGAGAAGCTGTTTAAGCTGAGCACTGTGGGGTTCAGCCATGTGAAGATGAAGAGAAGGGGTTTTCCAGGCAAAGGGGAGAGTGTGAGCAAAGGTCTGATGGCTACAGGGAAGCGTTTAGAAACTGAAAGAGCTCTCAGGTCAGATCTAAAGATGGGGAGGGGAGGGAGTGGAGAGAAATGAGGCCAGGGAAGGGTAGGTCGTGCAGAGCTTTAGGGTCATGGTAAGGGGTTGGGACTTCACCCCAAGGGCAGACAGAACTGTGGTAGGATTCTGAGTGGGGGAGTGCCAAAGTGAGATTTATACTTAGGAAAAACTGAGGGAAAGAGGAGGTGCAGGGAGTTCGGTGGGGTCCCAGCAGTTATCCTGGTGAAAAATGGTAGAAATGGGCCCAAGTGGATGGAATGAAGAGAAACACCCCAGGAGGTGGCAGCGGGCCTTGGAGCCTGAGTAGACTGAGACTGGAAGAGAAGGGAGAGGTAAGGAGTCGGATGCCTGGTTCTGAGATCTGGGGGCAGTCGCTGCCACATTCTGTCTGGGAACACAGAAGTTTGTGGGAACAAGCCGAGTAGAGGCACCGTACAAGCACTGTGCTAAATCTGAGGCACCATCCAGGAGACAGGGTCCAGGAAGCCCGGAACCAGCAGACCTGGGTTCCGTGCTGAGGCTGTGGGCAGGGTGAGATGAGGAGGGTGATCTAGGAGTGAGTGAGGGCCCTGAAGACAGTGATGACACCCTTACTTACTTACGTTTGTTTGGGGACTAGAGACATTAGCAAGCACAGAAATCAGAAGCCAGATCCAAGGGGAGGAAGGGAGAGAGGAGAATTAGGGGCCTGTGAAGTGAGGGGCTGATCACTAGGTGCTTATTTTCAGGTGCTTCACCAGTGACAGGAGAGGAGAGGCCAGGGAGGTGGCAGGGCCCTATTGGTGCTTCTTGCTTACTGCCTGTGGGGATGTGCCAGAGGTCGGATGCTGGTGGGAAGGAGCCAGTTTGGAGGAAGTTCTGCTGACTGAGAAAAGGGAGGTGACCCCAGGGGAGGTACCTGAGCAGGGCAGTGCTGGAGCAAAGAAAAGGTTCTCCATAGACTTGGGGTGGCATTTGGGGCCAGGAAGTGGAAGTGGCCAGGGTGGTGTCTAAGGAGTGGGAACAGCAAGCACCCTGAGAGGGGGGTGGGAGCAGCACCCTGAGAGGGGGTTGCTGCAGGTCACACAGCCCTGGCTGACTGTTTTCAGAAAACGAGATCTTCACATTCTCTGGAGATCTCCACATTCTCTGGGTGCCGCTACCCTCAACCTAGAGGCAAATGCCCTCTGAGGACCCACTGAGTGAGGGGCCCAGGGTCCTGCAGGCGTCCCTGGGCCTGGCTGCATCCCCTGTCCCCAGCCCTTACCCTGAAGAGCGCTGCGTCCTGCTGCGCCTGGTAGCCCTGCTTGGCCGCGTGCTTCCAGGGGATGCGGAAGAGGGTCTTGCCCGCGTCCTCCCAGCGCAACCCCGCGTAGCGCCCGCTCTCGATCTGTGCCACCAGCCAGTCGCGGAGGCGCAGAGGACCCCCGGCCCCGGCCATGGGTCGCCTGCCGTCGAGGATCTTCCCTTCCTCCCTTGGTCAGGGTTCCGCGACCATAGAGGACGAGGATGCAGCGCGCAGAGGGAGCTAGGTCAGGGTGCAGGGTGGCCGGACCCCAACATAACCCGGGATCGCGAGGCCACCTGGATGGCGTGGAGGCAGCGAAAGCGAAAGTCCGGGAGGGCGGGTTTCGCTTTCGTTTGCGGGTACTCCTGATCCCGCAGAAACGGAGCCGTTTTTTTTTTTTTCGGCCCCTCCCTGTGGTCGCCTGGGGGCAGGGGTGGGGGCGGGGATGCACCGGGCCTGATATAGTGCGCAGCTGGGTGGGGGTGTTAGCCCAGGCTCTGCTTGTCCCCAGAGGGCCCCCGATGAACACCCACCCAAAGGCGGTGCTCCAAACACCCCTGCACCTGTCCTCGGACTTTGCAGCCTACCAGAAAAGTCAGTCTCTTAGAATGGCTCAGTTTTTCCAATTTCTAACTCCCATCATAATGGGGAGGCAGAGGCTAGTTTAAAATGCATACACTTAGTCTCTACCCCAAGCCTGCAGAATGGGCAGGAGGCCCATTTTAAAGATTTCCCCTAAGGGATTCTGATCCTGGTGGATCATGCGTCACACTTGGAGAACATTTCCTCATCAATGGACCACTCACCACAGTGCTGGCTTGCTAAAGCCTCTGGGTCATGTTGCTGCTGGTTCTTACAACAGTAAGATGAGGCTAATTGCAGACTCAAGATGTTCTAGCCCTATAATAAGGTCACAGAGCTAGTGGGCTGGGGAGCCAGGATCTGAGCTGGTATCTTTCTGCCTCAGGACCCAAAAGCCTAAACAGCGGTCCACATTGTCTCCCAACAGCTACACCTGAAGTTTCCTAATTCCTGGTGGAGTCTGTGGTCCCCCTGAAAGTCTATGTAATATTTTTTATGCCTAAGTACTTTTTTATGGTTTGTATCTTTCTTTAAATTGTGAAATGGAGTTCTGTTAGGAAAGAGGTCAACTAGCTCAGAGTGCTTCACCCCTTGCTGTATACATGAGGAAACTGAGGTTCAAAGACAAGACGGGAACCCACCCCAGTCTGCAGTGGGAACAGAGCTGGGCACTCAGCCAGTGTTGACCAGAAGCTGGTAGCGCTGCCCTTCACGTGTGCATCTCAGGGAGGCCTTTCTCATGCTTCTGCAGAATAAGGAGACAAATGGGGCTCCACATGTCAAGGAAATCGAAAACGGAGCCAGAGAGACCATAGAGGAAGAGTATACTTGTTTCTGTCTGGGTTTGAGCTAGTAGAAACCGTAACTGCAAATAAATAACCTGGAAGCCTGGCAGACCACTGTGGGCTTGGCTGATAAGAGACTAAGCAATGGACCAGTCCTGCAGAAGCAGCAAGTTCTTACGTCACCATCCATCATACATACTAAAACACTGTGTAACTGTCTGCTATGTCTGTAAATAGTCTGCTCCCAGCACCATTTGAGGAACGCAGTTCTGCTTTTTACTGACTTGGTGCCCCCAAATGACCATCTCCAAGACTCCAATTGTGCCTCAATTTGTTGATGTTTTTTACCGTTTGTCACCATATTGAAGCAGTCACAAGTTCTGACACCCACAGAGACACAGCCAGGATTCAAACTCAAGTCCAGTGGGCACGAAGCCTTCCAAGTGATGATATGCCAAAGTAATCATTACACTGAAGTGGAGGGCCTGAGTATGTCCAACAGCCTCTTCATCTCCTAGATGGCAGAGTGTAGGAACTAGGAGGGTAAGCACAGTCCACACCCAGACTGCCTGGCTTGAGGCCAGGCCCACCGCTAGGCAGCTGGTGACCTGGGCACCAACCAACCTTTCTTTGTGTTCAGTAACAACGCCTACTCATAGGGATGCTTGAGGACTAAATGGGTGTTGAGCATGTTGCCTGGCCCATGGTGAGCGTTCAATAAATGTACCAGTAAATTTTTATTGAGTCAGAGAGGAGGAGGAGCGTGATGGAGGATCTGGTACATCTGATCAAGGTGGCTTGCTTTATTCTCCAGATGATGGGGCCATGGAGGGTTTCGACAGAAATAGCAACAGAAACAGAAAGGTGTTTTAAACCAGGTGGATGGTGGCAGCACAAATCACCACAGGCTCCTTGCACGCTGGTGAATCTGGCCACCCTGCTCACCACCTTGCTCCGGCGTACAATTCTGCTCAGGACCTTCTTACAGTTCCCTCCGCCTGACACAGTTTCTTTTGTTTCTTTGCTTCTCTGGTGCCTTTCACACGAGAATGTCAGCACCAAGAGGGCAGCGGATTTGTCACTGATGTTCCCCCAATGTCTGGCACACGGGTGAATGAATGACTGTGGAGTGAGAAGTTGGAGTACCGCAGATGAAGGTTACTTTGCCTCACCCTGACCCCCCAGTGCTGAAATCTGGGCCTCCCCAACAGCCCTGACCACAGTGCTTAGGGATTCATAAGAACTCCATGTGGGTGACTATAGCTTATACTTGTTTCTCAGCCCTAGTTTAATTTCAGTTCAGGAAAATAATCTGCTCTTGTGACCTCTGTCATCCTCGGAATAGTCTGTTGGTTTATGGCTGCTGGGAGGCCCTCCATCCTCAGCCTTCTGTCCTGCCTTTAAACTCTACCGGGCAGAAGCTCCTTCTCACCAGTAACCTCCAAGACCAGAAGAAGCTGCTTCCTAACAGCGTCACAGGACTCAGATCACTTAGCTTCAAATCCAGCCTCTCTTGCGTCAGCTGTGTGCGCTGGGCAAGCAGCTGACTTCTCTGAGCCTCAGTTTCTTCCTTCAGGATGAAGTGGACTCCTCCATGTAAAAGGTCAGGTGTGAGGCACTACGACAGCTGGTCTTCACTTATGGGGGGTGAGGAGGGACTCAGGAAGTGGATGGAGAGGGAGGGGTTCAGAGAGAAGAGTGTTGGTCCAGAGGAGGGACTCAGGGCCCTGGCCTGGAGATCAGGGCTCAGGAGAGAGATGGGAGGGGGTACCACGGGAGCGGAGGGGTGGTATAGTGGGTATAGACTCGGAGGTCAGCACTGCAGAGTGCAGGCTGCTGGGGCCCCAGGGGCTGCAAGGGCTCCTGCCTTGACCTTGCTGAATGACTGGGAGCCTCTCAGACAGGTAACTTCTGTGTCTCTTTAATATCTTCCAGGCCCACCAACCCCCTCCCGCCCCCCTCACACTCCCGCTGCCTTCAAGGACCCGGGTGCCCCCTCACCCGGCCCAGGGACTAAGGCACCAGGTGACTGCAGCAGGCCAGCTCAAACCCAGAGACACACACGGAGAACACACTGACTGCAGGTGCAGGCAAGCCAGGCGGGCAGGGGGGTGAGGGTGGGGGACAGAGCCGCTGCAGGGCTCCCACAGGCCCTAGGCCGTCTCAGACACCCCCAAAGGGGACCAGTGGGGAGGAGGGGAGCCAAGGCAAGGCGGGATCCTCGTTTGCTGCTTGCTTGCGCGGACCCTCACTTGCCGCCTTTGCGGGACAGGCACCGCGGGAGGCAGGAGAAAGTCTGCTTGACGCGCGCCAGCAGCGGCAGCGGCCGGTGGGTGTCCCGCGGTGCGCGCTGCACCAGGCGCTGCAGGGTTCCCTCGGAGGCAGAGGGGTGCGACGACGTGGTGGAGGCCGAGGTTGCTGGGCCCGGCCGGCAGCGCTTGCACAGCGGCAGCAGCGCGCGCACCTCCTCCTCGTCGCGGAAAGGGCTCTCTCCGAAGCGCTCCTCCAGCAGCCGGCGAAGCTGGGGTGGGGGTGTGGGGTGGGAAAGGGTGGGTGCGGGCGCAGCCCCACAGCCCCGCCCTTCTCCGAGACTCCCACCTGGCGAGGCCCCTCCCCTTCCGGGCGCTTCCCTCCGTGACCACCCCCCTCACGGAATAGCTTCCCTCTCCCTGAACCCCGCTGCCCCTGTGACACCCCATCTTCCAGATTTGCTAAATTCGCACCCTACTGCACAGTGGGGACCAACTCAACCCCTCCCAGCTGCGCCACAGCCCCGCTCACACCAGGCAGCTTCTTTGCCTCATCTTCCCAATGCAGCTGGTCAGCTAAGCCTCTGGGTACAGCCTGCCCCTGGGGACAGCAGTCCTGCTTCTCTTTCTGTCACCTCATCCCCGTTCCCGGGGAGGCCTCAGTTCTCGCCAGGCCCTGTACCATCTGCCCAGCAGGCACAGGAGAAGGAACACTGTGGCCTCATCAAGGAACCAGGGATGGAGGATGGGGATGGACATTTCTCTCCAAAAGGGCCAAACACTCAAATGCCTTCAGTTTGCAAGCTGGCAGTGCTGGGACCCCCCTGTCAAATGGAAGGTGTGGCCCCAAGGCATGCAAATTCTAAATTAAACAGGAAAAGAAAACCAGCTGGCCAAACACAAGTATCAGTAGGGGCTGGTTTAGCTGGAGGCCAGGACATTTAACCCCCAGAAAAATCTCCTGTGGGGTCTGAAGCCAGATTCTGTTTTTCTTCTGATCAGTCAGGACCCAAAGGAAGCTGCCTCCCGCCCCAGCCCCAGTCCCTGCCCCTACCTTCCGGGAATTGCCCCAGCCAAACTCTTCAAGCTGCTGCCTAAATCCTGGGTTGGGGTTGGCGATGGGCCTGGAGGACTTGATAGCTTCGAGCACGTCCCGCCAGCCTAGCCCAGTCACCGTCATCACGTACGCGGTCACGACAGTGGTGCTGCGGGAGATGCCTGCAAAGCTGAGAGACCCCCACACCCCAAAGGTTTCAGGTAAGGCACAATCTCCTCTGGGCCTGCCCGAGCACCCCATCCCAACTTCAGCGCTTCCAGGGACCAATAACAAGGAGCCTGTACTGGTCTCCGCACCTCCAGGTGTAAGAGATAAGGTTTCATGGACTCCACCCCCACTCCACATACTATACTCCCTCCCAGCCCCCCAGAATTCTCCTACATCAAAGGTCAAGTAAAACATCACTCATTCACTCAGCAAACATATCCTGATCATGTGTTCATTTTCCAGCTACTAGATATATAGTGATCTGGGGCTTATGATACGACTGGGGGAGACAAACAGAAACCAGAGAAACAATTTCTAGTGGCGATCACTGAAGGTGAGTGCAGGGGAAACGGAGATTGCATTGGAAGAGGTATCAACCTAGTGGAGGGCAGCAGGGAGCGATAGGGGAAGGGCCCCAAGGACGTGACAACAGGTGAAATGGTGGATGGTGAAAGATCAAGGATATTCTGGGCAGTGTACCAAGACCACAAGGTGGGGACTTGAGTGGATCTGGAGAAGAGAGTGCTGCTGTGGGGAAAGGAGGGAGGCGTGTGAGCCACGGCTGGAGACAGCTGGTCCCACGCTGGGCACAGCCCCCCCAGCCTGGCAGGGTGAGAAGTTATGGCCTGAAACCACCACTGAGCCAGGGGCCTCTGGGAAGATCCCAGCCCCAGGTTCCCCACTGTTCTTCAGGAACAACTCAGAGGCCTGGAGGGGAGGAAAGGGAGGTAGAGCTTTAGAGGGTGCCTGGCTCCCTGCACGACCTCACCTGCCCCTCCCCAGAACATCTGACCTTTGCCCCTATTTTACAGATGTGGAAACTGAGACTCAGGACAAGTGGCTATTTGGCCAAAGCCACGCGGCTGATAAAGGCCACGGCTCTGACATATCCCTGGGATGGGCCACTATTCTGTGAATGGCATGGGGACAACTGGGAGCTCTGTCCCAGGTTCCTCATTCCCAGGGGATGCCCAGGTGTTGGGGAGGAAGGCCAGTCACCTCCTTCCATTCCCCCCCAATCCCGTAACTTACCAGTGTACAAGGCAGTTCCCCCCATTGAGGCGGCAGCAGTGGATGAAGTTGATACATTCTTTGAAGTGCCTTTTGCTGGACAAGAAAAATAGAGTAGGGAAAGGGGGGGCAGGTGTCTTAAGAGGTATCCTTCCCCTTTACGAGAAGGCAGGAGACTAACCTGGGTCCTCAGGTCAGCTGCACATGCAGTGACTAGAGAACTTGTGAATGAGGCGAGAGTGGTGGTATTGCAAGCAATGGCAGAGGCCAGTGATGGCGAATACCGCTGCTGAGGCCAGGGCACCTCCCTGCTGGGTCTGTCTTGTGAATCTTATTTAATGGAAGACTTCTCGTGATCTTTCAAGGAAATGGGTGAGCAGACACACCTCCAGATTCTGTAATCAGATCCCTTGGGGACCAGCAGTGGGCGTGGGAGCAAGATTCCTATGGGGCATGAGTCCACCGAGCCCCTCCCAGTAGGGAGGCCCGCTGCTAATAACATGACCAGAGAGTCCACGGAGCTCCTGCAAACCTCCAGGCTCTGTCCTGGATCTTCAAGTCATGCCTTCTGCCTTTGAAAACCTCCTCCACCCTGACTACACTCCTCTTTTCCCTCTCAGAGAGGGGAAGTGATTTGTCCAAGGTCACACAGCAAGTAAATGGAAAAGCCTGGCTGGAACCCTCATGTCACTCCAAGGCCTGGAATGGGCAGAACATGAGCCTTTTGAATTCGGTAGTGCATCTGATCCTGGGAGACAGAGTGCTTTCTCCATTTCACGACTGGAGAGGCAGATCTGGGAAGTTAGGGTCTTGGCTAGGGTGGAAGGGGGCATTGGCAGGGGTGTGACTGACACCTGGGTCTGGTGATCACCTGTGCTGGATCCCCAGGTCAGCGTTCTGGCCTGAGTCTTCTCTCTCCTCCCTCAGATCACCTCCCACCCTCCCTGCCACCATCACAGGAAGCAGCTGACTGTCTGTCTGTCAGTTCATCCAGGGGAACTTACATGGGGACCTCAGGGGTGTCAGCCACTGGGATGCGAAGGTAGGTTATGTCCTGCAAGTACAAAACACATGTGGGCAGTGGGAGGCCCTTGCCTGTCCCATTTACCCCAGTTGGGCCACCCAAGAACCTTGTGACCCCAGACCACTTTTTGTCCTCTCTGTCTGAAGAGGGTAGATGCCAACTCTGAGCACCTCCCAGCTCTGATTGCAGAACTTTCTGAGGAGATGGTAGCCTAACCCCAAAGGTTAGGCTTGGATACCTTGGGAACAAGGACTTGAAAAAAAGAACTCTTATAATAGCCCCATAAAAGTACTAAATAGTCATTTAATAGGCCACTTAAAGTGACTCCCCTTCAAATAAGATAATAACAATAAATATTAAAAGGCCAAAGCAGATGTTATTATCTTAAAAAAAAAAACAACCTAATGATTATGAAAACAACTTGTACATGAGTTGGAGATATAAAACTATGTGTAAATTATTAAAATAGTCAATGAATCAGGGCCTCCCTGCTGGCACAGGGGTTAAACTCTCAGCACTATGAAGCTTTCACCAGCCACTGCAGCGTGAGTTCGATCCCCAGGCACAGCAGACCTCTTGCCCACTGCTCCCCTCAGCAGTGTATTTCATTGATCTGCCTGTGCTGTTCCCCACTCTGTCTCTTGTGAATCCTCTCACCTTCTGCACCTCTGGTTTAGATCCCAGTTCTTGTTGCAGAAATAAATAAAAACAAATCTTTTTAAAAATAATAAAATAATTAAAATTAAATACAATTTAAAAAATCAATAATCAATTGTCCGTAATTTCTCCAACAAACTTCCTACAACACCCTTCACTTCATGTTTAATCTTCACCCAAGGGCATAAAATTATTTTTTCCCTTGTTCCAAGAACCTCATGATTTTTCTTCAAGGGCCTCTCTTAATCCTTGGCTATTCAAGTGGCCCTTTGCAGGAGGCTGGCCCACCACTGGCCAGTGGCAAAGGGAACCCTGGCCAGGTCTTCATTCATCAGTGCCTTTGTTTGAGATTGGAGCCCTTTGCTAACTCACTTTCCCCAAGGTCACAAGATCCTGCATCTTTTGCAAGGTTTGCAGTTTCCTTTTGCAACACAGTTGGCCTTGGATTTGCTCAGTATTATCAAACACTGACTGGTAAATTCACTGATGGATGGGGAAGGAAAGAGGCCGTGTGAGAAGAGGGCCGGGCTGTTGGAACAGGACTCACTTTGCAAGCAGTTATTTCGTTAGTAAATCTATTCATGACTTGATAACCTTCTTCATGCAACCTGGTGGCTGCATACTTCAGAACAAGCCTTCCCTAAAGCAAAAGCAGACTCCATTGACCTGGAAAGTTCTTCTTTGAATGACACTGAAAACCACAGATTATTGGAGGTTTCTCTTAGAGACTAGCAAATGTGGGAAACTAAGGACGAGGGAGGGGACGGAGCCTGCAAAGTTCACACCGTAGATTTGTGACAGAACCAGGTTTGGAACCCAGGTCTCCAGTGCCCTTTCCCACCCACAGTTCTTCTCCTTCAGTGGGTGACACACACAAAGGAAAGGGCGGGGCGAGGCTCTCTAAGAATATGATTAACTTTGTTATTCTATCAGTTGTGGGCGGGGCGAGGCTCTCTAAGAATATGATTAACTTTGTTATTCTATCAGTTGTAATTTGTGAGCACCTGCTATGTGTCTCTCAACAACTCAGGGAGGTAGGTACTGTTATAAAGTTCCCTTTTACAGATCAGGTAATTGAAATTCAGAGAGGTGAAGTCCAGAGCCCAAGGTTACAGCAAGAGCAGAGGTGAAGGTGTGAACTTGGACTCTGGACCCTAGCCTCTGTGGTCTGGATTTCCCACTTTCCTCCTCTCACTCTTAACACCCCACCCCTCTTTTCCAGGTCTCCATAAAACCAGCTGTAACACATCAAGTGGAAGCCATGCTGTGTCCAAAGCCCTTCACCATCCTGCACCCTTTGCAACCCAGGGCCGAGGTCACGTTGCAAACACAGACGCAGAACTGTCCATTTGGGATCGTCTATTCTGTAAGGATAATGGGAAGCCCACGTGGGAGCCTTTCGAAGCTTCAGGCCTTTGAGGCTAGATGGCCTGTGTGACCTTAGGCAAGTTACTTTACCTCTCTGGGCCTCAGTTGCCAAACAGGAGAGCAACCATACAATAGGCCAGTTTTTCATTAAATGAGTCAGCTTGAGTCAGGGAGGCAGCACATAGTAGGTGTTAATATATGAGTACGGAGTGAGTCTTCCCCCCACCTACACCTAGCCCTGGGGCCCGGGCAAGGAGTACCTGCAGCAGAGGCTGGGGTGACTCATGGATGGAGATGATATGTGTGATCTTATTTCGGCCCAGCTGATCCAAGTCTTTGGCATCTGAAAGAAACAGAACGCTCCAGCCAATCTGGCAGGTGTGACTTATTTGCTTCCGATGCCCAAGGGAGGCAGGACTCCCTGTTAGGGCTCTACCTTGGCCCACCCTCCACCAGCTCCCAGCTCCTTCCCCACCTCCTTCTCCTGGCAAGCCAGGTCCTGCCTGCCACACACGCTTGCTCTTCACTCTTTGGCTTCATTCAGTCTTGTGACCAGCGCACCCATAAGCAATAGCTCAGCTTCTTCCTGGCCTTGGCCATGCTGTTCTTTCCACTGCAAATGGCCTCCCCTGGCATAGCCTTCACCCAACAATCCTACTTCTAGGAATGGGCTGGACTGCACAGGGAAAGCTGTGGGCACAGGAGGCTGTTTGATGCAGTACTGCTTATATCAGGAAGCTTTAACAAATGGGAACCACCTCAGTGGTCATCCAACGGGGACTGGCTAATGACATACTCATGCTTGCATACAGAACAGCCATTGACAAGATCTCCATGTTCTGGTGAGTAACAATGTATTATCAACGGGAAGCCCAGGTTACAGAACAGCAAAGAGAAGGTTTCTATTTTTGTTTTAAATATTACATCTGTGTCTACAAAGAGATGAAAAACAACCCAGGGATGTGCCCTACTGCTACCCAGGGGCTGGACCCCAGGGGGTGTAGACCTCTAGCTCCACAAGTCCACTTCCTCGTTGAATGAACATTTACTGAGAGCTTATTGTGTGCAGCCTGGGCTGGGCCTGGGGGTCTGGGGTCAGTTATCTTCCTGGCTCCTGCCTTCACTTCCTTAGACAAATTCTGCTAGCATCATTAGCCGCTGAAGTAGCTCTCAGGGAGAAGGTTGCCAGGGTTTATGAGAAGGGGCCGGGGGTTGGAGGGGTAGAAAGAAACAGAGATGTCCTGCCCTTGCTGAAGCTTCCAGCTTGTCTCTTAGCCCACGCCTGGGACAGGCCGAGTGCATAGCCGTGGGCAGTGCTGACCAGAGACATTTGCCAGATAGAGTCCAGTCTCCAGAGACATCTCTTCCTCTGAAGAGGTTGGGGAGAGGGGGAAGGGGTTCCCTTTCTAGCTGTTCTAACTGGAACTCCCAGACTGACTTCAACCCAGAACCTCAGGTGGGAAGAACCCTAAGAGAGGTGGTCCTGTTCGAAGGAGAGGCTGAGGCTCAGCACAGCTGCAGACCTGCCTGATGTCCGGCCTTCTGAGCCCCTGGCCCCTGTGCCCCCTCCAGTGCTCAGAAACTTTCCCCAGACCCAGTCTGGCTCGCTTCCCCGCCCTCAGGCCCATTCCTTAGTTTGAGATGTGTGGGCCAGAACATGAATGGTGGACACAGTCCATGGCCTTGGGACAGAGTGGGCAGTGCTCACCGATGAAGTTTCCGAGGTAGAGTCCAGGAAGTACCTACAGGAAAGACAAGCAGGGGTCAATCAGTGAGGGGGCTCACAACCTCTGTACCCACGCTGGGGGCCCGGTGAAGGGTGTCTGAAATCCAGAGCAATCTCCTTCCTCTCCTGGACTGGACTCTGGGAGCGGCAGGGGGCTGGGCTGGGGGAGCTTGGGGAAGGGAGCCCAGCTTGGGTAGGAGTAAAAGGAAAGAGGAGGCTGCAGAAAGACCTGGGAGAGGGGTACCAGGGGAGGGCAGGGGAATCCTGAGCTTGGGGAGAGGAAGGCAGAGATTGGTAATGCAGTAACAGAGGGGGCAAACAGTCACTGGAGCCAGAGGCCAGGAGCCAGAAAGAAACACATGAAGACCGAAAAAGGGACTTGGAGAGAGTCTGGGAGTGACAGCCACAGGGAGACACAGAATGAAACAGAGCGACCAGCAGAGGCAGAGACTCTAGGAGACAGACACCAGAGACACACACAGACAGAGGCAGGAACAGATCAGAGTCAGAGACAGCCCCGGAGAGACACCGGTTCCCAGTCACAGGGAGACAGAGCGACAGACTCCGAGAGAACAGAAGGTCAGAGGCGGCCAGAGCGACCCAGACAGTCGGCGCTGGGCCCGGGCTGGGGGCGACCAGTGGTGGGCGGCGCGAGTCCCGCTCCCCTACCTTGGTCATGCCATTCCCCATGATCCCGGGGGCGGGGGTCCGGGCGCACCCCCAGCTCGCCGCCCGGGGAGCGCTCGGGTCGCAGCTGTCCTGCTGGCCCAGGCCCGGCACCTGCAGCCTGGCGGGGG